GTAATGGAAACAGAAATATAAAAGCTGCAACATAAATGGATGAGTGATAAATAGACTAGAAAAAAAGACTAGAAAAAAAAGCTGCAGTTTATGGCAGAAGTATGAGAACCCCCAAAGAAAGCCAAATAGAAGTGCAGATCCTTAGACAATCTCTGGAATTCGAGCTATCAGGTGTCTCTGAAACAAGAGGACTAGCTGAACGTTTGCACAAGAAGCAGTTCATTGGATCCAAGCCTCCTTCCTCCCCTGTACAGCCTAGTGAAGGCTCTTCCCACACTTCCACAAGAGAAGATGGTGATGCACTTTCTGGAAAGTCAGCCTTTCTGGAAATGTTGACTATGGGGACTTGGATCAGGAGCACCAGGCAAAGCTGCAAGAGGGGCAGGGAATGCCAGGGAAAAACAGGTTAAGTGAAAGTCTAAGTATGGAAGAATGAGACCCATGGTTACTGCCCAGTTCTCCTCTTAGGAAGTTGGCATCCAATACGATGCACTCAGGTGTTTGGAAGATTCCATGCTGGGGCCTGCAAACATCCAAGACAAAGGACTTGCAGATTGTTCCATCAGCCAAATCCCCCATCGCAAAGCCTAGCAGCTAAGAAAGCCTGCACATGGCACATGGCACTGCCAGCCAGCTTCCTGTGTCTTACTCTTATATGTGAACGGACAGGCAGAAATTACCAGAAAATTGAGGAAAGCTCAACATGCATGACAGAGACCACACCCCCCAACACACATATGTAAGCAAACAAATTTTCAAAAGTCTAGAAAACAAAATAAAATCCAGAGAAGAAAACAAAAACTGGCATTAATATTCTTAGAGAAATATTGTAAGATGGGCACAACTTAAAGCATCAGCGTTACCCAGCGTTAGTTGGGATATGGGGAAACGAATGTTACCACCTGCTGGTGAGATCAAAAACCACTGCAGCCCTTTTCAAGAGCAATTTGGCAGTAGAGTCATCCCTCAGTATCCAAGGAGAATTGTTTCCAGTCCCCAGATTCCCAAATCCACATGCCCAAGTCCCTTACCTAATAACATGGTGAATTTGCATAGAACCTATGCACCTCCTCCCACAGATCTAAGATTATCTCTAGCTTACAATACTTACTGCAGTGTGGATGCTGTGTAAACAGTTGTTACACTGTATTGTTTTCTGTTAGCATTATTTTTTGTTGTTATTGTTCCTTTTTTTTCCCCAAATATTTCTGCTCTGTGGTTGGTTGGCTCCAAGGATGTGGAGTACGAGAGTACACAGGGCCAACTGTATGTGATAGAGCTGAAGACTCAGGAACCCTCTGACCCAGCCCATTTCATTTATAGAAATCCAGGTACAGGGAGACTTTCCACAAGGAGATTGTGAAAAGATTTTTTTTAACTGTACTGTTTGTAAATATTGAAAAAGAGGAAACAATTGTCACCAGTAGGGGAATGGATAATTTGAGATATAGAGTGGAATATTATATAGCTGTTAAAATTAATGAAATTTACTTATATAATATGGATATCTAAAAAAGTTGGATGAAGACAAATTACAAAGACTGATATATATGTAAATTTGAATACATATAAAATATTATTTGAGGATAATAGTAGTAATATGGGCTAACATAAATAACAGTAACCCTTTGATACGGAGGCTATTACCACTTTACATCTGAGGAAAGTGAGGCACAGAGAGACTAAGTAACTTCCCCAAGCCCACACAGCTAGTATGTAGGTAGTGAAAGGACAAAAAATTCTTGGGAATATTAACAAACTTCAAAGAAAAGAAGCAGGAGAATACGAGACTTTATTTGTAGCTTTCTTTTTTTAAGAGACAGAATCTGGCTCTGTCATCACCCAGGCTGGAGTGGGATGGCATGATCATGGCTCACTGCAGCCTCAAACTCCTGGGTTCAAGTGATCGTCTTGCCTCAGCCTCCCAAGTAGCTAGGACTCCAGGCATTTAAAAAATCTTTTTTGTAGAGACTGAGTCTCACTACTTTATCCAGGCTGGTCTGAACTCCTGGGCTCAAATGATCCTCTGCCTTGGCCTCTCAAAGTGCTGGGATTACAGGTTTGAGCCACTGTGCCCAGCCTGTGTGTGTGTGTGTGTGTGTGTGTGTGTGTGTGTGTGTGTGTGTGTGTGTTGTTTATTTCTTAAGCGAGATGTGAAGCAGTTGTGGCCAAGCTGAGTGTCTGTTACATGATTATGTTTTTAAGTACTTTTTTTTTTTCCTCATTTCAAGTTTTAATCAAAACTTGTATATAAGGTTACTTTATTCCTGCATCTTCTCAATTGTTTCTTCCTTGTATTTGCCCTTTTCCTTTCCTACTTGGCGAGATTTGGCTTTCCGTTCAAGGATCTTTTTGCGGTCTTTGTCCAGTTTTAGCCTAGTGATAACCACCTTGCTGGGGTGAATGCCTACATGGACAGTTGTGCCACTAGCTTTTTCCCGCTGCACCCGTTCAATGTAGATTACGTATTTCTTCCTGTAAACCTGGACCACTTTGTCAGTCTGCTGACCTTTATAGTGTCCTCGTACAACCTGAACTTCATCATCCTTTCGGATGGGCATGGATCGAACGTTGTACTTTTGTCTCAGCTCTTTGGAAAGAGGGGAGGACATAATCTTCCTGTGAATGTGGGAAGGTGCATTGAAATGCCTTTTGCGATTCTTGCTTCGGTCGGAAGTCACAAGGGATTGGACTTCATTTTGGCAGCTCCCGCTTAGGTGATGGCCGCGAAAGGGAAGAGAATTACACGCTGCTTCGGTTCTTTAAGTTTACCTAAGTACTTTTTTTTAAAGAGCAGTTTTAGATTCACAGCAAAATTGAACAGAAGGTACAGAGAGTCCCATCTTGCCCTGCCCGCACACATGCACAGCCTCCCCCATCATTAACGTCCTTCGTAGAGTGGTGCATTGTTGTGAGCAGTGCACCTGCACTGGCACATCAGTATCCAAGTCCACTGTAGGGTTCACTCTTGCCGTTGGACATTCTGTGGGTTTTGACAGATGTTTGATAATGAATGTATGCACTGTCATAGTGGACAGAATTGTTTTCCTGCCCTGAACATTCTTGTGCTCCACCTATTTATTCCTCTCACCACCCTAAACCCTGGCAGCCAGTGATTTTTGGGCTGTCTCCATAGTTTTGCCTTTTCCAGGAGATTATACAATTGACTTCATATAATATGTAGTCTTTTCAATGAAAAGTTGGCTTCCTTCCTTTCGCACTGTGCATTTAACTTCCCTCTATGTCTTTTGGTAGCTCATCACCTTTTATCACTGAATAGTATTTCATTGTCTGGGTGTGTTACATTACTTTTTAGTCTTTACATGTTAAAATATGTCATACCTTTTAATGATTAAAACTGTAAGCTTGGAAATTCTCAGCCCACGGCTGACTGTTCAGGGATACAGGGCTAATAGAGCCATAGGGTCTTTGAATCAGTCTGTGTATTTTTCACTGGCCTCCCACTAAGCATCATTTTCTTTACCATTCTGCATGTAATTAACAGACACATAGTGTCTTCCTGCCTGTGATGCTGGGCCTGAGGTGCTGAGCGGACAACACTGTGGCCTTGGAAAGGCAGTGCTCTGAATCAGAGCAAATTCAGAGGGCCCCCACTTCACCAACTGCTTATTAGGTCTTCAGCGCTGTGCTTCCAGGTCAGGGGTAGGCTTTTGGAAGGAAGATTTTGGAATCTTGCCTGAACATACTCAAAATATGGTTTTCTTAAGTTGGGTTTTGCTGGGAATTTCAGTGTTATTTTCTTCAATGTTGTTGTCATCTGTGTCTCAGAATGTAACTACTTAGGCTTGTGTGTGGCTTTTATATTTCAGGAAATCAGAGCGAATCCTCTGATCTGCATACTTGGAGGCAGGGCATCTGATAAAATATTTTTGTTAATGGTTGCCATGTGTTCCATATGCACAGTGCTTTCAAAGCATTCACAAAGTTGAACCTGGGGGTGTAGAGTTGGAAGGATATAATTTAGTACACCTTCCCCATTTTAAAAATGGAGAAATTGCTGCTCAGAGTGTGGAATAGCAGGTACAAGATTACACAGCTCATTGCTCATGGAGTCGGGGTACGACAGAGGGCTCCCTGTTCCCCACATGTGTTTACTGTATCACAGAGTACAATCAAATAAACTAAAAGATCTGTAGATCATTTAATTTTCAGTGGTTGATTGATAAGACTTGATAGGGCTTTATAGGTCTAAACCTTGTCTTTGGAATGCACTATTTGTAATATGTGCTTGGGACACTAGCTCTGAAGCTTTTTAATGCTTTATGTTAGATAAAAGAAGTTCTTGAGGGGAAAGTTGGTGGTTTGTAATAATAGAGAAGTGTTTATACACCTGCCTTAGTTGGGTAAATATAGGTATCATTGGGATCCTAGGTTTTCTTCCTTTTCACCCAAAGGGAAAGCCCCTACCCTGATGCTGTAGAATTGGATCAGAGGTATATATCTTATTTTGAAGCTTAAAGGCCTTACTCCCATTGGGTGGGAGTTATTGGCAAGAGGAGTTTGATCATGTGCATTTAAGAATTTTAGGATCGCTCTGTCTTGTTTTTACAACACTCCTAATCTTAAGTGGCTGGGTGATGGAAACTTCTAAGTGGGTAGGTGCTACAATGAGTTATATGATTTTTTCCCATAGCACTCTGAATTCAAGTATTCCTTAGTGCCCCATTTTTAATATCTTTGCTGGAAAGGCAAATAGATGTTTTCTGCCAGAACTCTTAATGATTTTCATTAATATTAGGATTTAAACTTTACATATATACTTGTAAACAAGTGTAGTATTCCCTGTGAGCAAAGAAGCCTTCCTTGAAATGGTTCAATAGAATCAAGTTTAGTAAACATGGGTATTTATTTTGACTTAAGTCTTCCAGAAAATATCTATTATAAGAAAGGAATCATTAACAAACTACCTATAAAACATGAGCATATGTAAAATGAGAGCATACCTTGATTTTGCTTTTATAACATGATTTATCTTGCAGTGTGTGAACTTAAATCTCCCTCCATGAGTGACTTCCTGTGGGGTCTGGAGAACTCTGGCTGGCTAAGGCACATTAAGGCCATAATGGATGCAGGAATCTTCATTGCAAAGGTATGCAATTGTGGAGAAATTAAGGGACAGATCAGCAAGACACTCTGACTTCAAAATGGGGATACCCCGCCATGGGCTTCCCTGCCCTAAGCTGCACTGCACTGACAGGATAGCTGGCTTTGTAGAACTCCATATAGTTTGTGCAGTGAAGATGTGATTTTGCCAAATAATACAGTGCTTAGGTGACAGTGTGTCAGCGCTGTGAGCAAATATTTCCAGAGTATTTTCTTCCATTAGGTTTAATCCTGGATGGAGGAAAGAACTTTTTTGTAGAATACAACCAAATGTGAGTTACTTCAGTGAGAAGGGCTTGGGGCTTACATCCAATAGATCCTTCTTTTAGCCAAAGTCATGTTTCTGTAGCTGGAAGGTAGATTCCATTCTGCCATAGCAAATGTTGCTGTAACTTTCATATAAGCTGTTTTAGAATGCAGTGTCTTTGTGTTGTTTAGTTTTTTTAAAAAAAATAAATTCCTCAGATTTATACCTAAAGAGAACCTTGCATTCCCCAATGCCATGGTGTGGGTAACTACCCATATAGGCACCGAGGAATGAGAGCTAAGCAGAACCCTGGCACAGTTAGGGCTTGAGGAATATCTCACTTTATAGTGTTACTACTCAGCTATTTCCTTTTATATAATCCTTTACATAATCATATATTAGTTTATAGAAATAGGGCTTGAAGTCTCCCTTTATATAATCCTCTATATATAATCATATAATAGTTGATAGTATGAGTGCCTAAAGAATATTTCCCTACATATATACCTATAATTATATCTTAGTTCATAATCAGAGGAATGCCTAGAGTGGATACAGTACAGAGCATGAATTAAAGGATAAGTAGCTTATAATTGGAGGAATGCCTAGAGCAGACACAGTGTAGAGCATGATTTAAGGGAAAACAGTTATACCAGGACAAGAATCCATGGCCCAGGCAACAGCGTTCAGTATCGTAAAGATACCCGCTGTATGGCAGGCTTGGGGCAAGAGCCACTCCTGGTAAAGGAGTTGTAGGACCTTGCTCCAGTTCTTGTGGAAGGCTGCCCTCAGAACGGCAATCCACCTTGGTGACTGTGAACTTTATCAGCTCTTGCTACTGTGCTGCTTGAAAAGCATCTTCCCATAGAATCCATTGGAAGCTGCCAGAAGGTGGCGGTAACCATGACAGCTCTGTCACTGCTATGTGACTTAAAGCATCCTCCCATAAATCTTCTTAGTAGTAGTTTCCCATAGATAGAAGTATTGCACACTGTACCCTCTTCACTGTGCATGGCCCACCTTTAAGCCTCGGTGTCCTAATGGGGGTGGACCCCTTACTGCACACGGCCCTTGCCTTCGTGGGAACGGGTCCCTTGCTGTGCACTGTCCACCTCCTGGCCTAGGTGATCTAATGGGGGGTGAACCCTATGTTTTATTGCTCACGACCCTATCACTATCCTTAAAGATGATTTCACTCACTGCCCTGCCCCCTAACCTATACACAATAAATACTCATGCTTCTGGAGATTCGGGGCTCGCTCGCTTCACCTTGCCACCCTCACCTGACTCTGCTTATAGGTAGCGTGGCCCCACGAGCCCAGCTGCATTTTCTTTGTATTTCTGTGTCCTGTCTCTTTATTTCTTGGATCCTGTGCCTCAGCACAGCATAAGGCTCACTCCACGACCCTATGGGGCACTCCGTCCTATGTATGGTATATTCCCCCTTATTAGGTAATCATTTATTCAACAAATCTTTATTTAGTGCCAGGTACTATTCTATATTCTATAGATGCGACGCAAGTAAGCCAGATCCAGTCTCTTCCCTCACAGAGCTTATGTTCTGCTGTGGGAGACAGTATGTTTGTTTATTTGTTTTGAGACAGAGTCTCGCTCTGTTTCCCAGGCTGGAGGGCAATGGTGTGATCTTGGCTCACTGCAACCTCTGCCCCCCGGGTTCAAGTGATTCTCCTGCGTCAGCCTCCTGAATAGTTGGGATTACAGGTGCCTGCCACCACGCCAATCTAATTTTTGTACTTTTAGTAGAGATGGGTTTTCACCATGTTAGTCAGGCTGGTCACAAACTCCTGACCTCAAGTGATCCACCCGCCTTGGCTTCCCAAAGTGCTGGGATTACAGGCATGAGCCACTGCGCTCAGCTGAGACAGAGTATTAATAAACTAATAAAACTGGAATTTTAGGTAGTGATAAATACTGTGATGAAATCTCTCCCATGTTTCTCAGTGTATGTTTCCTGCCAAGATACTCAGGTAAAAATGATGTGTATTTGCAATAGCAAATAGAAATTCTTAGCGGAGATTTTCTGGTATCATTTTTACCTTTGTTTTTTCCTCTTTTCCCCAAACTTGGATCCATTACTTGACTCTTATCTTTTTATCTATAAGTTCACAGTTTTGTAATTTATATTTATGCCTTTTCCTTTTTGGAAATGGGTGGGGCCGGTAGCAACTCCAGAATTTCAGTAAGTCTTAATGTGGAAACCCAGAGGGAAGAGGGTGAGGTGGACTAGATGACAAGCCATGAAGGTACGTTTGCATAGGACGAATGCTTGTATTTATTAAGTGCATGCACAGAATGGGAAGAGAAAGCTTTAGCTGCCAGCAACAGGCCACTCTGGCTCTGTCCTAAATACATGAACAGGTGTTTTGTTTTGGCCATTTCTTTCTGTAATATACAAACCTGGCTCTGATCCAAGGTTCTGCCTTTTTACAGCCATTCCTTGTGACTCTTTGCGGATCGTGTGTTTTCTAGGCAGTTTCAGAGGAAGGGGCAAGTGTGCTTGTTCACTGTTCCGACGGCTGGGACAGGACTGCTCAGGTGTGCTCGGTGGCGAGCCTGCTGCTGGACCCGCACTACCGGACTCTGAAGGGCTTCATGGTGAGTGTGGCCACTGGGCCATTCCCACAGGCGATGCCTTGACCGGGAATGGACCTCTGTTTTTCAACTACTGTTTTCTTGCCAGCATTATTTTTCTTTTAGTAGTTGAGCAGGATTAAAGGGGAGGAGATCAGATAGGCTTGGAATAAAGAGGTGAATTTCTGGAATATTGAAACCATTTCAAGTCAATGCTACTGAAGTTTTGGGGCAAATATATTTGGTAGTTTGTAAGACAATTTGATACATCATTTACTCATAAGTATTTCAGGTTTGAGGTAATGTGAATATATAACAGAAAACACATTTTAGAAAAAATATTTGGGGAAAAAATTTTCTATATTGTGCATGCCAAACGTCCTTGGTAGGAAAAACTGTTTTCACTTCTGGGATTTAAGCAGTCCTTCATATCTCCGGAAGAGAATACTGAACATTTCACAGCCTTTTCTTGTTGTTGTTTGCTGAAGTTACGAGTATATCCTCCTACAGAGTTTGAACCTTGTAGGTGGGCATCAAAAGATAACATGTTGCTTTCAACTACAGAGTATTGTATAGTAGCCTGGGATGGTGAAGTTTTGGCTAATCTGGTGTAAGTTCCTTAAAATGAATTAACCTCTTAATCATAATTTGGTAGAAAGTGCTTTAGTCAATCATGATCCATGCTACAGGATGCTTAGAAAGGAGCCCTAATGGAATCTCTTTACTGCTGGGTCTCCGTTATTAGTATCAGCAGCATCCTCAGACAAGAGAGGAGAGGCAGGCTTCCTCTCTGGGACCTTTTTCCTTTTTTGGAAGTGTCAGAGACCTTCCAGTTACCTGTGATAGCATTGACACCTCAAAATGTTATTCCTGCTTCAGACCCCTGATGGACTGAGGTGAGGAGGGCTGGATTCCTTCATTTGCATTTGGAGATGAAGAGGTTGCCAGTATGCACTGCCCTTAGGCTGTTCTCCTGCACACATCCTTTTCTACCTTCAGCTCATTCTCATTGTGCCCCATTAAATGTACAACCTAAAGAAAATGTCTTCAGAGTTGTCAAGAACAGACTTCCACCAGTTCATATTTCTTTGTAGGGGAAATCTCTGGCCCCTTTGAGCATTGGCGATATTGATCAGACTATCTATATTACTTGACTAAATCCAGGCTGGGTGCGGTGGCTCACACCTGTAATCCCAGCATTTTGGGAGGCTGAGGAAGGAGGATTGCTGGAGCCCCAGAACTCAAGACCAGGCTGGGCAACATAGTGAGACCTTGTCTCTACAAAAAATAATAAAAAATAAGCCAGGTGTGGTAGAGCCCACTTGTGGCCCCAGCTACTTGGGTGGCTGAGGTTGGCTGATTGCTCATGCTCAGGAGGTCGGGGTGCAGTGAGCTGTGATCGTGTCACTGCACTCCAGCCTATGTGACTGAGCGAGATCCTGTCTAAAAAATAAATTTTAAAATATAAAACAATATAAAATACAAAACCAAAATAACATAAAAATTTAAAAATAATAATCTGGACTGCTTCATACTTATAAATTCATGTTAACCCTAATTCCAAAGTAGGACTAAGACTTCAAATATACCCCAAAGCCATCATGTTAGAATTCTTCTAATGTGCAGAAAAGATCACTGAAAAACATTCCCATGTGTTTTTTGTCAAGAGGTTGGTAATTGACATACTGAGAGGCAGCATCACACATTGGTTGAGATGGGGTTTGGAGTGGAGAGCTGGGCTGTGAAATGATATCTGCTTGCTAGTAGCATGATCTTGGGTGAATATGACAACTCTTTCCTTCAGTTTCCCCTCTAAAAGAGTGAGAATACCTATCCCACAGTTAAATGAGATCATATGTAAAGGAATGTGAACGGCGCCTGGCACACAGGAAGCATTCAGTGGGTGGGGTTCCTACATTTTTATCCATCCGTTTCCATTCACTGTTCTTATGGATGACCTTCAACTTTGCCCTTGCCACCTGCATCTCTATATGGGTGGATAATGCCTGTACACGCATTTGCAGGTTACTTGAAGATGGTGACTTCTGCTGCAAGTGCCTGTGAATTCCTCAACATTATTGGGGGTGTGATCTCTTATTTTTCTGTTTGCTTCTCTCCATGATAGTTATATTCTTTCTTATGTAGGTATTAATTGAAAAGGACTGGATTTCCTTTGGTCATAAGTTTAATCACAGGTAAGTAATCTTTAACACTCTCTTGCTTTGAATGTTTAAAATAAAAGCACTGTTTCTGAAATTTTCAATTGAATGTCTGTGGGAAAATAGTCTTGTTTTTGAAGTTTGTGTCTTATTCAGAAAGTTTAAGTTTTGTTGTATATGTCATATCATAGATAAATGAAGTTACGACTCTGATTCCTCTTGGTAATAGTTGGGTAGAACAAACTAATGTTAAATTGTTCTAGAATAGACAGAAAATGCTTGTTCGTTAATTGTCCTAGTCAGGATCAGCTGTCCCTTTCTCCTGCCATACACATTTGACTTACTAAATTACTCAATTTTAGATGCGTAGACATTCACTTTAGGCTGCAAGTTGTGAAATGCCTGTGGAACAGTTTCTCTTTGCTCTTCTGTAATTCTAAGGCATTTGTATCAGAATGCAGTTTGTCCCAGATGTCTCTGGAGGCGTGATGAAGGATAGTGGCCCAGGCTTCAGAGCCAAACACAGATCCTGGATCCAACGCCAGATCCAGGCCATGGTATTCACTGTCTGCCCTGGGCATCTGTCCTCTCTGACCTTTGGTCTCTTATTTGTGGAATGGGGATAGCATCCTTCTACAGGGTTGTAGCATGGATGTTCAAAAAGTATAACTAGGCCACTCTACTACACCCTGTGCTATTGTTTTTGGAGCCACCAGCCTCCTTTTGTCAGTGTTGTTGATGGCTGTATTGCGTTCTGGAGCTCTTTACTCTTTGAATGTTAAATGGTATGGCTGTACTTAGTTTAGTCTTTGGTGATTAAAGTTAGGCAGCATGTTAAGTTTCATTAGTGTGATATATATTTTTTCAAATGTTTTCTTAAAATTCTAAGTGCATGCAACTGCCCAAGAATATTTTTGTAGTTTTTTGCTTTCAGCACTGTGATTTTCAGGAATTCTATTTTTATAATTATTTTTTCCAGGAAAGCATAGGAATTCCATTTTACAAATGAGAAAATTAAAGTCCTCAATTAGATAAACTTCTTAACATCATATTTTCAGTTTTGGGGTTCTGTTAACACTATCTGCTAGGCAATTAGGATCTCCAAGATAGGAGACAGATGACAGAACGAATATGGAAATGACTGAAGATCAGCTAGGTAATATTTGTCTGATGAGGAAAAAATATATTAATACTAGGCAACCCTTTTTAAAGCTACCAAAGGTGAGAAACTGTAACATCTGAGAAGTTTCTAGACAATTTCCAATGTTCCCACTCTTGGGAAAACTCTGAAACTGACCATTGCTCGTTTCTCTTCCTCAAGGTGATGCTCCGTTACTAACATGAGGTTCTATATGATTTTGTCTTTGATGACACCAATACATCCTTTGGGATTCTCTGTAAAACTCATAGTGTAAAGGGCTAAGGAGTCTTCATTTTAAAATCAATACAAATTTGAGGGAGAAGAGTCTGATGTGCTCTTGAAAAGCAAAGCACTGAGAGATGTAATAAAAATACATGTGGAATCTGTGGTCACATGGAAATAAATCATGTGACAAGCTTTAACTGCTTTAGAAATGGGAATGCTCCTGGCAGTATGGGAAACCAAGTTGTCTTTCTTCCTCGTTCCTTCCCAGCAAGACAGTGCAAAAAATGAAGAGCCCTAAAGCGGTTCGGACGTTTCTTCTTACCCGCTCATAAAGTGCAACATTTATTTTTAAAGTTCTAATGTACTTTTAAGGAATTAATTTTAAAATGCCCCTTTTCTGTGGAAAGTGTCTTTGAATTTTATGTTTTGCACTAATGCTTCCTTTTGTAACTATAACATGAACACATCCCTTCTATCCATACCTTCACTACAAAGTTGCTCTGGAAATCTGAATTTAAAAAGTTGTTTTTCCACTTTTTTGTCATTGCAAGTTTGTAAGGTAAGACTTATTTAGGAACTGGGGTTGCTTTTATGATGGTTTTTGCATTTATGGCTTTCTAATTTAAAAATAATTCTTACCTTTAAAAGTCTGTAATGCTTTGTTTTATAGATACGGCAATCTAGATGGTGATCCAAAAGAAATCTCTCCCGTTATTGACCAGTTCATTGAGTGTGTTTGGCAGTTAATGGAACAATTTCCCTGTGCCTTTGAGTTCAATGAGAGGTTTTTGATTCACATTCAACATCACATTTATTCCTGCCAGTTTGGAAACTTCCTATGTAACAGCCAAAAGGAGAGACGAGAACTCAAGTAAGTATTTTGGTGTTTAACTTTAGTTATCTAAAGATTTTGATGATTGAGAACTTTAGGTGGCCTTTCATAATTTTGAAGACTGTTTTATTTAGTCACATACCTGTACTGACAGAATAAAGTTATTTTTTTCCTGACATCATTTCAGAAATGGTTTAAATGTCATCAACTGACAAAGATACATACAATTTCATTTTTTCCCTCAGTTTCTTCCTGATACACACAGATTGATAGACTTGATGCACGAATACTGAAAGGTAATTTTCTGGAGTCAGAAAAAGTGGTTTTTACATTTAAAAGGAAAAGGTTAGGTATCTTTGGTGGCTATGCTACCATAATAAAAATGGGAAATTTAATTGGGAAAGCAAATATAAAACTAAAGCCATAATTTATTCAGATTAAAAATGTATCGATTTATCCCAGGGTAAAAGTAGACAAAATGTGTACTTTAAAATAAGTGATAGTAAAAAACTTAACAAAGTGATTTAGGCAGTATAAATAAGAGAACATTTTTAAAATTTTCATGGAATAAAATGATTTTAACTATGGTGTATACATTATCAGATTTAACTTTGGGAATGATCAGTTCAAATAAAATGGACTCCAGTAGTTTTACACTATCTGAGTTGAGCATAAAGAAAATCAGTTTTTCTAGTGGATACTACTTTTTTTTCTCTAAGGAAGCTCAAGTGTGATTCCCGATAAATGGAGATGATTTGAAAGCAGCAGAGTGTATCCTTTAGGGTCACCTGTTTTCCTATACAGTTTTGTGGTTTCTTGTACCTGACTAGCCAATTTTAATGGTATCTGCTTGGGTCTGAATATTGCTTTTCCACTTACTAGCTATAAGACTTCGGGAAACTACTTACTCTCTCTATTCCTCAATTTCCTCATCGGTGAACTGGACTTACAGCAATTCAGTGAGGATTAAATTAGAGAAAACGTGAAACATTTAGAATAGTGTCTGACAGATTTTATAAATGTCCAATGACTATTTGGGGGAAAAACTCCCCCCAAAAGAACAGCTATTAAAAAAAAATAAAGGAATTGAACACCTTGTTAAGGCCAGTACAGATGGTGGTGAAGTTGAGATTATTACAGTGTTCTCCCCTATACCATGAAGCCACCAAGATTATAAATTTACCTGCTGTAGAACAGAGACACACAGTTTTCAGATAACAATTATTAGTTCCTTTCAGCTTTAATATAACTATATACCATGCGTTAAGAACCAAAATAGGTCATTTAGAGGCTTATTTTCTTTGTAACAGGATTCAAGAAAGAACATACTCATTATGGGCTCACCTGTGGAAGAATCGGACCGACTACCTGAATCCTCTGTTTAGAGCTGATCACAGCCAGACCCAGGGAACCCTTCATCTCCCTACAACACCATGCAACTTCATGTACAAGTATGTAAACTCTTGGGAACTTTGTAGCTATGGTATGAACTTGGATTCTGGTATCGTTTAACATTCAGAGGTCAAAGTCTATGAAACACTGATCTGTGAGACGTTTGTTGGACACAAAAGACACCAGAGAAAGAAGCTTGAATATCTGATTTGGTATTTTTGCCAATGTCTCCTTTACCTCTTTATTCCTCCTGAAAGTGGAATTCTCTTCAGGAGTTGATGTTTTATAATAATAATATCATAAAAGGTAAGTTCCAGTTTATTTTTTAAAAGCCAATGAAAGAGAATAATGCAAATGCCTTAAGTCAAATGTGGAATCACAAGTTTCAACAGTGATCATGACAAATTAAGGTTAGCACAGAAGTAATTGTGGTTTTTGCCATAGTTTAAACAACAAAAAGGCAAAAACTGAAATTATTTTTACATCAACATAATAGGTTGCCTTTTGTCTCCACTGAATCAAGTCCTAGTGGAAGTACTTCCCTTGTGGAAATTATGTGAAGATTGTATGTATCAGGATGGAGAAAGCAGGGTGGCATCCTGTAGGTTCTACTAGGTATGTGCTAGATATGTATGTTTTTTCCTTTGGCTTCCTTGCTAAGGTTGTATAGTATGAAAAAGTAACTCAGTGGTCAAAAAAAAAAGGTAGACTATTCAGAATAGACAGAAATCCCATCTCTTTTTTCCTACTCACTCCCAACACACACTTGATGGCTTTTCTTCCTCTACAGAGTTCGTTTCTCAAGGTTTTTTTCTTTATTATTTCAATCTAATTATTTTCTCAGAATTTATAGCAGAATATTAATTCAATCATAATAAAGGAAAAAGCCTCTACAGCGTGTGTAAAACAAGTTTTAAGGGCTGTTGAGGTATGACCAATTGGATTACAGCTAATTTGTTATTAATAGCCAGTCAACAAATATTTTCTTGAGGATCAAACACTGTTCTGGGCACTGTGGATAAAACAATGACAACAAGTCCTTGCCCTCAAAGTACTTTACTTTTCTGCATAAATAAAACAGTGGGTCTAAGGATAACCCTATGATAACATCATTTTTCTCATTTGCACTCCAGCATCCTTTTGTGTGTAGGATAAAAAGAGATTTATTGGTTGGGCGCAATAGCCCACACCTGTAATCCCAGCACTTTGGGAGGCTAGGCGGGTGGATAACCTGAGACCAGGAGTTCAAGACCAGCCTGACCAACATGGTGAAACCCCGTCTCTACTAAAAAAATTACAAAATTAGCCAGGCATGGTGGCACATGCCTGTAATCTGAGCTACTCCAGCGGCTGAGGCAGGAGAATCGCTTGAACCTGGGATGTGGAGGTTGCAGTGAGCTGAGATCACACCATTGCACTCCAGCCTTGGCAACAAGAGCAAAACTGTCTTTAAAATAATTTATTGCAAATGCAAATGTCAACTTTTAGTGTTTAGTGGTAGTGATACACAAAAGAGAAAAGTTGCAACTTTAAGATTCCCTTTGTAACTGAAAGATTCTAAATATAAAATCACTAATTTTGAAAGTTCAAAACTAAGCCATTTTCTTAAAAGAAAATGGTTACATGTGCTATTTCAATTTTAGAAAAATGTATTGTGTTTTCTAATTCATATATACAAGTAGACTTTTCATAAACTTATTCTCCACAAAAGGCATTTATTGACCCAAGGAAAAAAACCATGAACACAAAATTATTACCTTAGGTAGTGGCTTTTTTGAGGCTGAAATTTGCCTTTGGTTATTAATAAGACTGTGGTATCACAGATACCTTAGAAGACTTGAGGGTGTGAATTTTCATATTGTGATAAGGTGGTATCATGACACTCTGCTGTCCTTTCCAGGTTTTGGAGTGGAATGTATAACCGCTTTGAAAAGGGGATGCAGCCCCGACAATCAGTTACAGATTACCTGATGGCAGTGAAGGAGGAAACTCAGCAGCTAGAGGAAGAACTAGAGGACTTGGAAGAGGTAAGACATACTTGCTTTGTTAATCTGTTGTCTGTGCTTATTTCTTAAAGAGCATGACTTCATGAAAGCCTCTTAAGATTCAGTGCAACACAACCATTTTGCATTTTTAGCCAGTAGAGAACCTGAAACACAAGCCCATCCAGGTGAGTCTCAGATAACCAAAGCCTAAACCTAGGCATTTAATGCATTTCGGACATTGGGCTTGTGGTTCAGTTCCACAATTTGCTAAACTAGTTGGTTGTTCCTTATTTTTAGGTCAGCTTTTTGGTTACTATTATTTGAGAGTACTAAAATTAATTCTTTGTGGAAATGTGTGAAAATGAATAAAATTAAATATATGTACTTGTAAAAATCTTTCTTCACTTTAAAAATTATGTAACTATCATATTGATCTATAATAGGTGAGATTGATTATGAAGTCTATCCTTTGGCTTCTATAACTTCCCTGTACTTGGATAGGGAGGTTATAATAAAATGTTTTTCCTAATTGGATAACTTTGTTTCCACTGGTACCATACTGTAGTTTATGAAATCTTAGGATTCTATTAGTCTATTCCAGCAGTCTTTTTGTTGAAATAATTTTTAAAATTACTTAGAATATCTAAAAGTACCTTAATTTTAAAAGTGACTCTTTCTTATTACAAAGTTAGAATTTCGTGGGCTAGCATTTGAGATTTTGTCTTTTCAACTTTATTTTCCATGCAAACATTTAACTGTTTCTGCTGCTTATACACAATTTTTAGACCTTCCTACCTTTGTGTTTTTCCTCTCACTGTCCATCCTGACAGGAATACTTACTAGCCATCACCAGAATGTTCACATTTAAATCTTTTACAGTCCTGTTAAAATGTTCCTTGCTCCCTGAAATTTACTATGCTCTCTTCCTTCTAACCTTACCTCTCCATTCCTCTTCAAGAACTTTTGCCATTTTAAGATTCCTACATTGCATGAACTCTGCCTCTCTCTGCTCCACTACTCCACGTTCCTTAGAGGGCTGGGTCTGTATTTCTCTCTTTTCCTCACACTGCCCAGCACAGTGCTTTTGCACATAATCTAAATGAATGCTTTTTGAATGAATACATAATACCTGACCTTAAAACACCTCTTCTGCTAATATCAAAACATGCAATCTGGCCGGGTGCGGTGGCTCACGCCTGTAATCCCAGCACTTTGGGAGGCCGAGGCGGGTGGATCACAAGGTCAAGAGATCGAGACCATCCTGGTCAACATGGTGAAACCCCGTCTCTATTAAAAATACAAAAAATTAGCTGGGCATGGTGGCGCGTGCCTGTAATCCCAGCTACTCAGGAGGCTGAGGCAGGAGAATTGCCTGAACCCAGGAGGCGGAGGTTGCGGTGAGCAGAGATCGCGCCATTGCACTCCAGCCTGGGTAACAAGAGCGAAACTCTGTCTCAAAAAAAAAAACCATGCAATCTGGTGAAATGCATTCTGAACAACCCAAGTGTCTATGACATGATGAATGGAGAAACAAAATGTGGTATATCCATGTAATGGAATACTATTTAGCCAGAAAAAGGAATGAAGTACTGATACATGCTACACCATGAAAGAACTTTGAGAATATAAGCTAAGTGAAAGAAGCCAGACACAAAAAGCCACATGTTGTATTATTCCATATATATAAAACATCTGGACTAGGCAAATTCATAGAGATAGAAAGTCGATGAGTAGTAGCCAGGGGCTGTGGGGAGATAGGAATGGGGAATGACTGTTAATGAGTATGGGGCTTTCTTTTGGCGGTGGCGGGGGGCAGGGAGGGGTGATGACAGTATTTTAGAATTAGTAGTGATCGTTGCACAACCTTGTGAATATAACTAAAAACCACTGCATTGTATACTTTAAGAGGGTGAACTTCATGGTAAGAGAATTGTATCTAAATTTAAAAGTTAGATGATAGACACTTCATTCCTGATTTTTAAAAAATATTTTTTGAATTCATGGTATGAGAATCATATGAAACCATGTAGGTATAGAAAGGAGGGAAACTAGTGATCACAGGGTGCTTCGCCTGTGCTATATTGTTTATAATTATAGAAAACCTATGTCAAGGCAGGTAGTATCATCCTTACATTAGAGATAAAGAAAGGAGGCCTCACAGATTTTGCCCAAGGTCATCAAGTCCAGGTCTGAGCTCACATCTATGAGTCCCATGTTCTTAACATTATACCCACCTGGGAGGTAACATGCTGAAAGCATGCATATAGAGGAAAATAAATAAAATAAAAAAATTATTTATTGTATTTCTGCTGAAATTGTTATTTCTTTCTTAGAGGCTGGAAAAAATTCAAAAGGTCCAGTTAAATTGCACTAAGGTGAAGAGTAAGCAAAGTGAACCCAGCAAGCACTCAGGGTTTTCTGCCTCAGACAACAGCATAGCCAACACTCCCCAGGATTACAGTGGGAATATGAAATCATTTCCATCCCGGAGCCCTTCGCAAGGTGATGAAGATTCTGCTCTGATTCTAACCCAAGACAATTTGAAAAGCTCAGATCCAGATCTGTCAGCCAACAGTGACCAAGAGTCTGGGGTGGAGGATCTGAGCTGTCGGTCTCCAAGTGGTGGTGAGCATGCACCGAGTGAAGATAGTGGCAAGGACCGAGATTCTGATGAAGCTGTGTTTCTCACTGCCTGAAGTTTCCCTTTGGAGTTCCAAAGTAAAGGACACACAAGCAACACTTAAAAAAATAAGGGAACACAGGCAGTTTATCATAAAAACAAGAATTGGTACATGTCATTGAGAACTAATTTAATGCAGCTATGAAAAGGGAAACAAGTGCCCAGCTCTTGATTTCTTAGACACTGAAGAGGACGTAGTCATTTCGTTTATCAAATATAAGGAAAATTATTCACCATTTTGAAGCTCATCCTAGACTATGAAAATTATATTCACTATAGAGCAATTACTTCTGTTATTACCTAAAGTTATCAATATATATCTTCCTTGTCATAGCATGCATCTCTTAAAAAGCCTCAACTCCTTTCCCTCGTATCTGTGATTATCATTAATCTTTTAGTTCACTTCCAGATGCATATTTTGTGTTTTCGAAAGCATCTGACATTATCTTCCTTTCTGACTCTCTTAATCCGTATTTCTAAAAACAGGCACATTGTTGAGATGCATCCTTTTTGGTTAATAGATATACTCCTAAGGAGCTTTTAAGTGTTTAAGTTTATCAGGAATAATCATCACTTTAACTTTTCCTTAGATAATATATTTTGAATTGTTAGAATAATTTTGTTGCCTTTCTCTGAGATCTATAGTCTGTTTCTCCTCATTATTTAAAAATGCTAAAATTTATATCACACTTTTTCTCTAACAATGATTTAATATATTCCTAACAAGGTAGAAGCAACATTCATTCTCCTGGTCTTATATATGAATTTTAGTTTTTTTGGTAATAACAACCTTTTACTACTATTCTAGAGACGAAAGTGTGAGCCAACCACCAGCCTGATCTCAAAGTATAACATTATAAAGTTAGTAGGGTAAAACATCTGTGAGGGAAAATCCTGTTAAGAACCAGAGAATTTGGCTGTCAAGTCTGTTTAATGAAGGGAATAGGTTTTGTAATCTATCATTTTAGAAATTATATAACTGGCTAATATGGTTTACTTAACAGTAGTAACATCTCATGACCACTGACTGTTGAAAGTTTGAGTTTTTGTTTTGTTAAAAGGCACATTTGAGGGAGAGTCACTCCTGTCTTAGGAGTAAAAAAAAAGACTTCACTAGGTAACCTAAATGAAACTTAATGGAGAAAAGTTGCCATATAAGTGATACTCACACTGTATGGTTTTAATATATTAGTACATTCTAGAATGTAAAAGGATTAATTTAAACTTTATAATTTACATCATTTTGAATATGTAATTTTTTATGGGAGAATGTATTACATTTTGCTAAAATTAAAGTCAAGAGAAAGGGCAAGAAAGCAACATTGCTGATCTCTCTAGTATGAAAGATTGGAGGAAGTGTGGCAATATATATAAATGAAAAAATGTAATTGTGCTCATCATATTTAAAAATAGAATATATTAGAGAACTGTGATATAAAAGTACTGTTAATGTAAAAAATAAAGCAAGTGTAATTCTTTTACAATATAAAATTTGAGCATTCTCTGCTGAGCAGTTCCCAAATTAAGTCCAAGGAATGTTTATTCATTTTCTGCAATATACTGTATGTAATAGGGAATACCTTGCTAAAATGATAAATACTTAGGATATAGTGGTGATGGCTTTCACCTTTTTATAATAGAACTCACTTCACACCATTCTTGTAGCTGTCCACTCTTAGAAACTTTGTTGCCTAATATTGAGGATGTGGCTTTAATTTCTTCCATTTGGCAATGTATGTCTATAAAAACAATAAAAATTTTTTTAAAAATGACAAAAGTATGCCAAAAAGCACTATGCATTTATTTGAAAAGCAAATAGTATAAATATTTGATGTTTTAAAATGTAGTTTTTTAATGTGACATCTTCCACATCGGAGTCATAAACTTTTAGTTCCCTCAACTTTACAAGACATAATTTATGTAGCACATTCATCTACTTATTAGAAGTTAACCTAGCACTGAGATTTATATAAAAGGTTACATTTATTGCTTATTAAAACTTTACTTTCACAGATTCTTCAAAGAGCATGGCTAATCCAACAAGACTAAAATATCTAATACTGCATTTTCATTTAAAATCAAACATTAATCAGGAAGTGTTTTATTGAGAACAGTGGTTTAAAGCACAGGGAATAAACCAATATAAAGTTGATTTGAGGCATATTACTTCCCAATTAGTAATACTCAGAGCTCAGGTGATACATTCTTTCAGTTTGATATGAAATAGGTAAGAATTTTAACCATGACCCAGCAAATCAGTAACTGAACTTTTTATAGAATAATGGAAGGTGAAGATCTGAGAGGGAAAGCCTAGAATAAATTTTTATTCTTTAAGAGCACATGATTACTTTCTCCTAAAAATGAATCTGAGCCATCCTTCAATTTAAGCACATATAAATCTATCCGTGTCAAGCACCCTCTATTCTGATATAAATTTCCTAGTCTTATGCCTAGAAATTTCTTTCAACTTTGAAGTGGTTGTCTTTAGTTTGTATCTCATTGATTTAGAATTTTCTTCTATTTTGAAATAAATATTAACCTTTTAATCTCTACTTATGACAAACTCCTAACTGATTAATAACTCTTAAGTATTCCTCTATAATTCTGATTTCTATCTTGTCTTATAAAGTAAAACCAGAATAGCAACTTTGACATGCATTTCATTTTTCTGCTGGCACTGCTTCTCCAATATGGCCAATTTTTATGAAGAAAATATATAGCCATAAAATCAGAAAAAAATGGTCACTTAATTTCTGTTGCAAAAACAGAACCCACATCCATACAGGTATATTCAAATGCAGATTCTTTTCATCCTGGGTGACATATATAACCTTTATCCGAACTGTGTATTAGATGCAAATAACTGTTAATTTAATGACTGGGTTGTAAGAAGGTTATCTAAGGAATGAATTTTGAAGGAGAACCTAACCCATGTTAACTGGTATACAATGAAACTGGGATAGTTCAAGATTAAAGAATAAAAAACACTGAGGTGAACTGCGCATGTAATTATGTAGAAGAGATTTACTCTATAAGAAAATGTTTTGATTTTGTTTCTCTGGTGGAAAGGAAAGTAGATAAGCACCTAAACAATTTTTATCTTTGCATGGTATTTCCACAATGCCTTATTCTTAGTAGGTGCTTAATAAAATAGGTAGATCTAATGAATTAATCAAATGAAGGGCTGTGGTATGCTCCTCTCTTCTTATGGGATGCACCTGGTTCTTGTGAACCTGATTGTTTGCAAAATATTGAGACTATTGTATCTTCTATTGCAGTAATTGCTGACAAAATTAAGCTCTAGTTGCCAGTACAGTAAGGAAAGGATTTTGAATATCCAAGACTATCATAAATTTGAAACACTCTTACCTCAGTTCCATAAATCAGGAGTAGTAATTATTCCCTCCTCATCTGGTTATTTTGAAGATTTAATAGCATGCCCTTAGCACAGTGCTAGGGAGACAATCCAAGTTATGTTCTGTGTCCAACATTGTATCTCTATAGTCCAAGTGACTACTTGCTTTCCACAGACTATTAAGCATGTTTCAATTCTAACAAAATAATTTTGTTTCTCCTATAACTTTGTTGCCAAAAACATGGACAGGAAGAACAAAAAATTTTAAAAAGACAATATCTATATTGTATGCTGGTGTTGGAAAGACAATCATACTGGGATGAAATTTAAAGGAAATTATGCATTAGTTTGTTTTTTAATTTAGATGGTACCTTACCAAGCCTGCATGCCTTTTTCCTTCATAAGCTTTTAGGGGTACCCAAGAAATATGTTAATTTTGTGACATGGTATAGAAGCAAATTACTGAAAATAATACAAGAGAACGCTTAAATTCATTAAAAATCAGGATTACCTAAAAGTTCAATTTTAATTATTACTATAGCTTTTCTCTTAGGAAAAGTAACTCACAGTAAAGGTCAGAAAAGTTCACTGACTTTTTTTGTGTATAGATTAGCTGTATATTAACATAAAGACTGTTTTAAACATTAGGAATTTAGAAAACCTATCCGAACAGAAACCTACTAAATACTTATTTTTTAAAAAATTAGCATGAGAGTTTGTGTTGGACTGCTTTAAATGAAAGGCAATTTTTTTTTTCTATTAGGTATTTACTTGTATTGCTTCTTAAATGCATCTTTAGTTTAAAAAAATTAATATATAAGAATAGCTGGTTTATTCTTTTGATTTATTGTAGGTATTAAAAGTTACTTTTTTAAGATGGCACATAGGCAGGTTTGGTGTTTCCTAATAATATGAATATTTTAAAAACAAATTGCTTTTGAAAGTTTTATCCAGAAAGAAAGAAAAATAAGAGTTTTCTTACAGTTGAAAATAGTTTTTCAAAAAAGGTTAAGAGAAAAAAAATCTAAATACCATTCTTGATAAAGAAATGCAGCTTCAAGTTAAAAATACCAATTTAAATGAAGTTTTATAAAATATTAAAAACTAGCTAAAATTACATGCATAGGCATTTAATCAATAGAAGAGGAACAGCAGTGGAACTTAAATATGATGGGATTTATCAACAATAAATAAACATTTCAGTGCAAATAGTGCAGAAAAATTTCTCAAAGTAAAGATCATAGCAATGATTCCAATCTATACAAAATCAGTCTCAGTCCTCTACACAATCTATACAGAATATCTGTGAATTTAGCCGCTGATGAAATACCAGTTTGCAAACCATAAATACAAAACAGTGTTTAGTTTTGTGTCCCATTCCTCTCTCAGCAGTTCATGTTTCCAGAAAATCTAGAAAGAAAACAATGAAAAAAAACCCTAAGATTTAAGATGACAGATTTGTATCCCTTTACATTATCTTCCAATTAAGATTTGCCTGTATGGGCTCCCAGGCAAGATGGTCAAAGAGAAACAGTTCTGGTCTGCAGCTTCCAGCGAGATCAATGTAGAAGGCGGGTGATTTCTGCATTTCTAACTGAGGTTCACCTCACTGGTACTGGTTAGACAGTGGGTGCAGCCCACGGAGGGCGAGCAGAAGCTAGGTGGGGTGTCACTTCACCCAAGAGGCACAAGGGGTTGGGGAACTCCCTCCTCTAGCCAAGGGAAGCCAAAAGGGACCCTGCTGTGAGGGACAGAACTATCCAGCCCAGATACTATGCTTTTCTCATGGTCTTTACAACCCACAGACCAGGAGATCCCTTTGGGTGCCTATTCCTCCAGGACCCTGGGTTTCAAGCACAAACTGGGCAGCTGTTCAGGCAGACAATGAGTTAGCTGCAGTTTTTTTTTCCCATACCCCATTGGTTCCTGAAACGCCAGTGAGACAGAACCCTTCACTCCCCTGGAAAGGGGGTTGATGTCAGGGAGCCAAGTGTTCTAGCTCAGCGAATCCCATTCCCACGGAACCCACACAGCTACGATCCATTAGCTTGAAATTCTCGCTGCCAGCACAGCAGTCTGAAGTCGACCTGGGACACTCAGGCTTGGTGCAGGGAGGGACATATGCCATTACTGAGGCTTCAGTAGGCAGTTTTCCCCTCAAAGTGTAAACAAAGCCGCTAGGAAGTTCCAACTGGGCAGAACCCATCCCAGTGCCACAAAGCCACTATAGCCAGACTGCCTCTCTAGATTCTTCCTCTCTAGGCAGGGCATCTCTAAAAGAAAGGCAGCAGCCCCAGTCAGGGTCTTATAGATGAAATTCCCATATTCCTGGGACAGAGAACCTGGGGGAAGGGGTGGCTGTAGACACAGTTTCTGCAGACTTAAATGTTCCTGCCTGCCAGCTCTGAAGAGAGCAGTGGATCTCCCAGCACAGTGCTTGGGACAGACTGCCTCCTCAAGTAGGTCCCTGACGCCTGTGATCCTGACAGGGAAACACCTCCCAGCAGGGATTGACAGACACCTTATACAGGAGAGTTCCAGCTGGCAACTGGCAGGTGCCTCTCTGGGACCAGCTTCTAGAGGAAGGAGCAGGCAGCAATCTTTGCTGTTCTGCAGCCTCCGCTGGTGATACCCAGGCAAATAAAGTCTGGAGGGGATCCCCAGGAAACACCAGCAGACCTGCAGAAGAGTTTTCCTTCCTGTTAGAAGGAAAACAAACAGAAAAAATAGTATCAACATTAACAAAAAGGATGACCAGGCAAAAACTCCATCTGAAGGTCACCAACAGCAAAGACCAAAGGTAGATAAATCCATGAAGATGAGGAAAAACCTGCACAAAAAGGCTGAAAATGCCAAAAACCAGAATGCCTCTTCTCCTCCAAAGGATCAAAACTCCTCGCCAGCAAGGGAACAAAACTGGATGGAGAATTAGTTTGATGAATTGACATAAGTAGGCTTCAGAGGGTGGGTAATAACAAATTTCTCCAAGCTAAAGGAGCATGTTCTGAAAGCAAGGAAGCTAAGAACCTTGATAAAAGGTTAGAGGAATTGCTAACTAGAATAACCAGTTTAGAAAAGAACATAAATGACCTGATGGAGTGGAAAACACAGCATGAGAACTTCATGAAGCATACAAAACTATCAATAGACAAATTGATCAAGTGGAAGAAAGGATATGAGAGATTGAAGATCAACTTTATGAAATAAAGTGTGAATACAAGATTAGAGAAAAAAGAATGAACAAAGCCTCCAGGAAATATGGGACTATGTGAAAAGGCCAAACCTACGTTTGACTTGTGTACCTCAGAGTGATAGGGAGAATGGAACCAAGTTGGAATACACACTTCAGGATATTATCCAGGAGAACTTCCCCAGCCTAGCAAGACAGGCCAACATTCAAATTCAGAAAATACAGAGAATACAACAAAGATACTCCTCAAGAAGAGTAACTTCAAGACACAAAATCGTCAGATTTACCAAGGTTGAAATGAAGGGAAAAATGTTTGGGGCAGCCAGAGAGAACAGTCAGGTTACCCACAAAGGGAGGCTCATCAGACTAACAGTGTCACCTCTCTGCAGAAACCCTACAAGCTGGAAGAGAGTGGAGCCAATATGCAACATTCTTAAAAAAAAGAATTTTCAACCCAGAATTTCATATCCAGCCAAACTGAGCTTTATAAGTGAAGGAGAAATAAACCTTTATAGACAAGCAAATGCTGAGGGATTTTGTCCCACCAGGCCTGCCTTATAAGAACTCCTGAAGGAAACACTAAATATGGAAAGGAACAACTGGTACCAGCCACTGCAAAAACAATCCAAAATGTAAAGATCATCAACACTATGAAGAAACTGCATCAACTAATGGGCAAAATAACCAGCTAGCATCATGACAGCATCAAAGTCACACATAACAAACAATACTAACCTTAAATGTAATGGGCTAAATGCCCTAATTAAAAGACACAGACTGGCAAATTGGATAAAAATTCAAGACCCATCGATGTACTGTATTCAGAAGACCTAGTTCACATGCAAAATCACACACAGGCTCAAAATAAAGGGACACAGGAAGATTTACCAAGCAAATGCAGAGCAAAAAACAGCAGGGGTTGCACTCCTAGTCTGTGATAAAACAGACTTTAAACCAACAAAGATCAAAAAAGAGAAGGGCATTACATAATTGTAAAGGGGTCAATGCAACAGGAAGAGCTAACTATCCTAAATATGCACCAAATATAGGAGCACCCAGATTCATAAAGCAAGTGCTTAGAGACCTACAAGAGACTTAGATTCTCACACAATAATAGTGGGAGATTTTAACAACCCACTGTCAATAATAGATCAATGAGACAGAAAATTAACAAGGATATTGAAAAAATGAACTCAGCTCTCTACCAAGCAGACCTTAAAAGACATCTGCAAAACTCTCCACACCAAATCAACATTCTTCTCAGCACCACACAGCACCACTTATTCTAAAATCAACCACATAATTGGAAGTAAAACACTCCTCAGCAAATGCAAAATAACAGAAATCATAACAAACAGTCTCAGACCACAGTGCAATCAAATTAAAACTCAGGATTAAGAAACTCACTCAAAACTACACAACTACATGGAAACTGAACAACCTGCTCCTGAATGACTACTGGGTAAATAACAAAATTAAGGCAGAAATAATAAGTTATTTGAAACTAATGAGAACAAAGACACAATGTACTAGAATCTCTGGGACACAGCTAAAGCAGTGTCTAGAGGGACATTTATAGCATTAAATGCCACAGGAGACAGTGGGAAATATCTAAAATTGACTCCTGAACAT